TCCTCTTAACCACTTTAGAGTAAGGGTCATCCAAGAGTCTTCTCCTACCCACCTTGGAGTAAGGGCTATCCCAATAACCTCCTCCTCACCACCTTGGAAGAAGTCAATCCTCACCTTTGTCAATCCCTACACACTTGAGTTAATAAAATACTCGGTAATCTTTGTCATTCAAAGTGGACGTAGATCACGTTGACCAAATCACTATAACTTTGTATTCTTTCTCCCTCTACTTATTTACTATATTTTGGTACTGCTTACTTGACAGGTGATGTGCAAACCAATTTGTACATCATCAGTTATATTTCACTATAGGTTTGGCACTAGTGTCGAGTGAGACAAGTTCGTGTTAAAAAATATTTTATTCATATTCGATTTATCAATTCGTGTCTAACAAATCGTGTCATATTGAGTTCATGTCGTATATGAATCACGTAAAATTAGTGTATAAATGAATTGTGTCATATATTTATTCTGATTTATTTTACTCATACACAATTTATTTATAAATCGTGTCAGTTAAAATCTACTCGTTTACTAAATGAATTGTTTAAAAAAAAAACTTAAATCACCTAACTTATTATGTTGGTGTCGTATTATTAAATCATTTGGCACCCCAACTTCCCTACCTGCTACCCAAGGTCCATCCAAATTGATGCCAGGGGATATTCTTTTTCCTGTGTGTACTTGACAACTTCAAGTAAATAATTCCACATGGAAAAGTCATCAGTCAAGGAAGGGTCGGGCATTAGGGAGCAAAGTTCCACTGCCACATGTTGATCATATATCTCACATCCTATAATGGTTACCTTTTTAGTTTCTCCTATATGTGGTTTAGGAAACATAAGAAATCAACCCACCCATCATAGTTATCTATTATCACAAGAGATTGCCTTGCGTACAAGCACTCAGACCAGATACATTGAGTTGAAGTTCACCCCATCAAATACCATTAATTTTCAGAGTCTCTTCAATTATGAGTACCAATATTTGTTCAATTGAAGTAAAGTTAGTAAATGAAAACAAGAACATTAGAGCATCTCTAACAGATAAGTTAAAGGACACAATATTTAACCCAAAAATTTTAACTAAAGTACTAACACGTCTTTACTGATCGTAAAATCATGTGAGATTCATAAAATTGGGCTCTCACTCTTCTATACAATTAAATTGAATAGTAATAAAGGGAGGAGCGGGGAATTTGATACCCACATTTAACATATCTATAATATCCCTCCTCGCTTCTTATTTCAACTATCCATCCATAACTACATTCAACTCTTTATAATTTCTCTCTTATAACTTTTACTTATCTCTCACTATTTCTCTAATCTCATTATAAATTGAAAAGACGGATAAGCATGTGTGTAATCACTAGTTCATAGTGAATGATTATCCAATTAAGTATAACTAAAAGAAGAAGAGCAATGTTATTCCACCAAATGGATATGAGCGGTTGGATGATAGTGAGTGAGGCCCACCAATTTGACAGTTCACATCTATTTGGTTAAAAAAAAGAATTGGAGGAAATTTAAACCGCCAATAGACACTTACACTAATAAAGACATTTATGAGTGCATATAGTATAGGCTTCCCAAAAGAAAAGCCAACTTTTTCCTTATTGAATGACAAAGATGTGTATGTATAACAGGCCCACGTACGTAACAATTTGGGGCCCACAATTTTTGATGGGGTTGGGATTGGGCCCCAGTCCAAGGCCCTCTCTTGCGTTTGGTCCACTTATTACGTAACAAATTAGGTTTTAGTGGAGCCCACACAAGAATAAGGACATCAACACGTGTCCGTCCGAGTCTCAGTCAGATCGTCTAACAAGTCACAACTGTTGCCCTTGTAGTCGCTGATGTGGACCCATTGGCAGTGGCCCTAGTGGGGTCTGTGACTGTCACTGACTCAGTGACCTTTTCGTTAGTAGGGGCCCAATATTTTTAAAATTAAAATGTTCATAAATTTATAAAACTAATTCAACATAAAAACTCGACTAAATACAATATAAATTCATTAAATATTATTTATTCATAGTGTAAAGTGACGTAATATTAATTTATAATAATTTTTTCATGCATATATTTACAAATGCTCGGCAATATATCTTAGCTTGTATTGAGAAAGTGTGACATTCAATAGTCAATAGTCGACGATCTTTTAAAAAGTTATTTCTCTAGTCTCTATCCAACGAGATAAATTTATAGATAATGATCCTAAAAAACTATAATTCGTGAAATATTTGAACGCCTAAGTTATCATTCAAAAAATATTTATTAGATAACTACGCTACCCCTAACCCCTAGGAGTTGAACGAGAATAGTTGGATGGACTCTTTTTCTTCAAATTAGATAGAGATGCCACATGTCATGACCTCAGACTACTGAAACGCACCTTGAACATTAGGTTATTGTGTAGTTTTAAAGATTCGTGTTTTTTCTTAAAAGCATCTACCCCTTCATAAGAAGCTAAACCAAGATAAAATATTATCAATAATTAATCATTTTCTTAAAAGCTGAAAACAAATATTATTATTAAACTAAGTAAAAAGGTGAAAAAAAAATCTGCCGGGGATATCAAAGATAACTTTAAGCTTCACGGTTTGATTGTTATATAATTGGGATAGTATGTCGTTGGGTGAGAGAAATGATTCAATGGAATATACCCTTGGTTTGTGTACTTGTGATAAAATTAAGATGATAAATTATAATTACACTAATGTGTAAGTTCATTCTCTCATTTTCGATCATACTCTACATTTCATAGACGATAAAATGGGTAATTTGGTCAAAATTAATCAAGATGAACATTTGACTTTTTTTTTTTGTTGAAAAAAAAAAGGGTGGAGGTAAGAAAGAGTGTCCAACGACTATTCAAATAGGCTTTCACCTGTGAGATCATAAGAACTTTGACCGAGCCTGAAATATCTCTCGGGACCAAACCTAATTTTGTGGACCTAACATAGGTTGAACCCATTTTTAAAGTGGAAAGCCAATGCCTAATGGTACTGACTAGTGAGATTATCCACAATTCTGTGGCAAGACTTGGACTTTGTCTTTCATGTACTAAATTGCCTTTGGCGTACCTCAGGTTTGGTTTGGTTTGATTTGGCAGCACATAATTATATTGGTACACAACTATACACAATTGCAGAGTACTTGACACAATCATGTATTTGGTGTCAAATAAGAGATGCAAATCAGTGGTCCAAATGTTTGACCCATGCAAAGGTTTGACATCACTAACATAAAATGATAAAATTTTGATATTTGGCAATCACTACAATTAAGTGTTTGAATGAAATTTGAAATGCATTTAAAAATTCAAACAAAATAATATTTTTAAAAATCAAATTTGAATTTAAAATTTGAAATTCGAAACTCTGTATTTAAATCACAGACACATCTAAGACTCCAAACTCACGACTCCAATCTTAGACTCGTAATTTCTTATATCCAAAAGTCTAGACTTGTGTTCTAAAAACTCTGGATTCCAGACCCTAGACACTAAACTCCAAACATTGAAAATATGACCCATACTTCTTTTTTAGTTTAACGATTAGGGATGTCTAGAATAATTTAAGTGTACCTTAATTAATTTCTTCTCTAATCCGATCAAAGAATGATCATCCATCCTAAACTAATCTCTCATGGCCTCGCTCCTAACCTTCAATTTGTGCCCACGACTATATTATGCATAACTTGTATAAATGGGAGGGCTTTGATATAATTTGTGTTATTAATCACTCAAGTATTATATGACTCTTGCCACGAGTGCCAACAAGTCAATGAAACCGTGAAGGCTTTGCTGTCTAAGGCAATCATTAATGAATTTCATCATTTGATTGACGTCTAATTTTCACATTCCTTAAGAAGGCAAAATGATAATTTGAATTAAATAATATCAAATAATGAAGTATGCAAATTGAATGATCTTTACTCAGTAATGTTCATCTAATATTTGGTATGTAATAATGAAAATTCATTCATATTCTTATGGAATACATAATTCCATCAACATAAAATTTCACGCTCCTCAATTTTTGATAGTATTTTTTTATTCTTAACTATCATCACTTGTCGTTATCGCCACCTCCACCACTACCATCCCAAGGTCGGGCTTTGATCCAGGTCTAGATTAGGGAGGGTCTAAGCCGGAGTGTAAGGATTTTTCAAGATTCAATTATTACATTGATTTTATTCCCTTGTAAAAATATTATTGCGGCATAATACCGTTGTGCGTAAAAAAAAAAAAAAATTATTGCATCACCATTTTTTCAATATATTTTAGCAATAGTAGTACTAATATTTTAAGTAAGTAGTCAAACATTTCAAGATAGCTTATAGTAGTTAGCTAAGCCTGGGATTACTTTGAAAAAACCAGAGATAATTAAGGCAAGAGAAAATCTGAGTTGCCTCCTGGTTTATTGAAAACAACCTATAAGGGCAAATTTGAGCAAAATATTTACTACAATTCTTGTTATTATCAATGTAATTGTTTTGGTAATTCAAATCCATATCGACTGTTCAAAAACAAAAAAAAAAAAACCCTATTTTAGAACTTCAGTGAATATGTTGAAAAATTCAACGTAAAACTGCAAATTCTTTTGGCTATTGCAATAGATATAATAATGATATATATGTGTGTGTGTGTGTGTGTGTGTGTGGCTGCCGTGGGGTTTGTTAGGCTCTTCTATGAGCTGGATCTACACTCAATGGAGTGACCCACAAGAGGTCCAGAAATAGCTTCTTCAAGCGCACATCTATGTCTTCAATATAAACAATTTTCTTCCTCTTCTTCTCTCTCAAGGTCAAATTCTCCCTCTCAAACTTTGGGTCATCTGTCGTGTGGGGGGTTTTTTCTATTTAGTTTGAGATGGGTTTATGGTTCTTTGCATGTTAAAGCAAAGTGATGTAATTAAGATATTCTATTTCTGGGTCTGTGATATATGCGTATTTTACACATATCTATGTGTCCGTTTGAGGTTGACGATTGAATAAATGAATCTGGGTTGTGGTCAAGCGGTGGAATCGATGTCGATGCCGAGCTCAAGTGTTTCTTGCAAGTCTGGTGATGGAGTCTCCGACCAGTTTCCGGTCGGTCTCCGTGTGCTTCTAGTAGATGATGACCCCACTTGTCTCTTGATCTTAGAGAAGATGCTTCGGAACTGCCTCTATGAAGGTGAGTACTGAATTTTGTCAGGAATCGTCTGTTTTCAGGTTTTCTTGAATTTCTGTTCTTAATTTGAGTTTTGATCTGAAAATTCGAATCTTTATACTTACCCTTGAGTTTCTAGATAGATGGTACTGGTAAGTACCCATATAGGTTATTGTTTCTTTTGTGCCTCTGTTCCATTTCTAAGATTTGCTAATGGGATCAGTATTCAGTAGTCTGCGGTGGAAGAGAGAGAGAAAGAAAAACCTTTGAGATTTGGGTGTAATAGGACATCGTATGCACTTTGAGATAAGGTTTTGTTCAGATTGCTATAATTTTGCCCAGATTCCACAAGATGCTATGTTAACTTGTTCAGATTGCAATCTTGTGGTTGCAAATTCTGATACTTGCAAAGTTGTTTCAATTGATTTGTGGGTGAATTGGGTTTTTTATTTGTAATCAGGGAGAAAGGTATTGTTTTGACGTGTGCCTGTATGGATAGGTAGTTCAGATTTCCTTTTTCTAAGTGGATATGTTTAATTTACAGACTTTATAGTTGTAGTTATGTGATTGTTGGATAATTGATTCGATTCTTCTGGGGTTCTTTTCAGTTACCAAGTGCAATCGAGCAGAAATTGCATTGTCACTGCTACGAGAGAACAGAAATGGATTCGATATTGTTATAAGTGATGTCCACATGCCTGACATGGATGGGTTCAAACTACTCGAGTATGTTGGCCTTGAGATGGACCTTCCTGTTATCAGTAAGTACCCTGTTTCAGATTTTGTTGACCTTTTATTTAAAACCGAGACAGTTGTCATTTTCATTGGATATAGCCTCTCAGATCTGCCTTGTGTAATTACACAGTGATGTCGGCCGATGATGGTAAAAATGTTGTGATGAAGGGTATTACTCATGGGGCATGTGATTATCTGATCAAACCAGTTCGAATTGAGGCATTAAGGAACATATGGCAGCATGTGGTTCGGAAAAAAAGGCATGAATGGAAGGATGCTGAGCAAGTGGGAAGTGTGGAAGATGGAGAACGACAACAGAAACTGGCTGAAGATGCGGATTACTCGTCTTCTGCAAATGAAAGTAATTGGAGAAACTCCAAGAGAAGAAGGGATGAAGAAGAGGATGCTGAAGAAAGGGATGACACGTGTACAATGAAGAAGCCACGGGTGGTTTGGTCAGTTGAGCTCCATCAACAGTTTGTGGCAGCTGTTAATCAACTTGGAATTGATAGTATGGATCTTTATCAACTTTTCCTTATTGTTTTCCCCTTCCATTCCGCTTAATACTCCTGCTTTGATACTCCATTTTGTTTCCGTAAAGCAGAACATTATCTTACCCGTATTCCTAATAAATCAGACTTATGCTGTTTCAACATATAGTGGCTAACCTGNGTCTACCTCCAAATCTGCCATACCCATGCCCTTAGTGGATCAAAGAAACCTTTTTAGCTTTGAAACTCCCAAGTTAAGATGTGGGGAGGGACAACAGCAACAACCGAACAATAACAACAGTAAGCAACTGAATCTGCTTCATGGAATTCCAACAAATATGGAGCCAAAGCAGCTTGTCAGCTTGCACCAATCTGCTCAATCCTTTGGGGGCATGAATATGCAAGTCAATACCCATGGAAGCCAGAGTAACTCTTTACTATCAAGGACACAAATGCTGAATGAAACTAGTGACGGTCATGTTTCAAGGCTTCAGTCGTCCACAGGACAGCCTATTATGTCAACTGGGTGTGCAATTGGAGTTTTGGCACAAAACAACAATGCCAGAGGTCCATTATACATTCCAGTCTCCATAGCCTCTTCAACACCAGATTTCTCAGTGAACAATGACACAGACTTGTCAGGCAGTAGTTTTCCTCTTGGAAGTAATGCAGGGATGTCTACTTTCAGCTCTAAAGGTGTGCTCCAAGAGGAGTTTAATTCGGAAACAAAAGGATCAAGGGGAAGTCTTCTAAGTTATGATATTCTTAATGAACTGCATCAGCAAAAATCCCATGTTTGGGGTTCACAGAATGTAGGATTGACATATGATGCCTCCCAACACGCCAATATAAGAGGAAGCCTCGATGTCTCACCGGCTGTTCTAGTTCAACAAGGTTTTTCCTCTTTCCAGAATGTTGGGCAAAACAGGAATGCCGTTAGCAAGGCAGTCTTTTCGGCAAGGCAAGAAAGTGGGCATGGGAATGCCCCAAACTTTAGTCGACAACTTAACACGTTTCTTGTTGACAGTTCTCCTTCGGTTAAGGCTGAGAGACTTCCCGATTCGAGTTATCAAAATATTCTATTTCCTGAACAATTTAGTCAGGAGGACCTCATGAGTGTACTCCTCAAGCAGGTCAGTTTTTTTTTCCTGGATATCTATCTCTACTTCAATTTGCTATTTGAAGGTTGCATCTAGAATTTGAAAATGGTGTTTAATGACTGCTTTAACTAATTCAGTCTTTTCTCTAACCAGCAGCAAGAAGGCACTGGACTAGTTGAAAGTGAGTTTGGCTTTGATGGGCATCCCTTGGATAATCTTCCTGTGTAGAGCATCCTCCATGCTTTGGCTTTATCTATGATTCCACTTTCTGGGTTAGGCTCTCCTCTAATTTCCTAAGAATTGGAGAATCCTCCATTTCTCGTTTAAATGGTCAGAATTTGTACACATTAGCAGATTCAATTGATTTTAATCTCAATAATGCAAGATATTTTTTGATCTTCTGAATCTGTTGATATGTATATATCCAGACCAATCAAAAGAGAATCCTTATGGAGCTGACCCCCAGTTTCTAGTGTACAAAGCATCAACTACAGCTGAAGTTGAGGACCCTTCAGCATTTGAAGTGATTTTTGGAGACCCATGTGAGAATTAAGGCATTAAATCAACTCGGTCCAACAATGTAATTATGAGTAGCTTAATTAAAGTCTGTTTGATTGGTGAAAATTCTCTGTGTTTTCTGTTTTCAGTTGTTGGAAGCAAAAATTCACCAGAAAACACATTTGAAGTGGAAAAATATAAGAGGCTTCTAGAAAATCTGAAAACTTGAGAGGCATCAAAGTAACTTTTTTTTCTGTGTAACTGACTTTGTATGAAAATTGAGCTCGTAAATCCATCGGTAAATGCCTTTCTTTCTCCATATATCTCCTCAACGAAAATGGAAATCGATTCTGTGTGATATTATTAGTAGCTCAACAAAGGTTGTGAAGAAAATCAGATTTAACAGGAAATGAGAAGAACAGAGTAAGAAGAAGAAGAAGAAGCAGCAGCTTGCTGGGGAAGAAATGATTCTCTCTGATTTCTTTCATCTCAGATGCAAGTACATTGTGATTACAGTATTGATAGACTGATCAGTGAAGCACATTTCAAACTAGGGGTGTCAATTTGTGTCCTGCTGTTGTGTGATTTGTGTGTCGATATTTTTGTATCGTGTTATTATTATTTGTGTCGTGCTTCTATTAAGACCCACGAAAAAAATTATTTATTATGTTTCAAGTGTAAAACATTAATCAAATTTTTTTATTATGTTTATTTATTAATAGTGTCAATTTAGTGTTGACACCCCTAAATCACGGCAGGTTGTTACAGTCGGTCAAGTTTGGTCTAAACTATACTTTGACAAGGTCTTCCCAAGTTCGGCCGTCACTGCAATCCGTCTAAGTTGTATATTAGGTCAAATGGCCTAGGAGACTAGTGCATGCGAGGATTATAACTGGTTTGAACATATTTAGATAGTGAACATACAATACAGTCAAGTCTACCACTAGCACAAGCATTACTCAAAGAAGGAAATAACATACATAAATATTTAAAATTTATATGCCCAAAATAGTCATACCACAACTGAACAGTTTGAAAAGAAAAATCACAACAACAAATACTAGGCGCCTAGATAGTACAACTCATCTCTCTCATGTCCCTTGATAATAATCCTCCTGGTCCTCAAGTCCTGTAAATAACAAGAGTTAGATAAGCACACTACGACACAACAAAAATCTATGGTTAACTGATGTACAGATAATAGATTCATGACCAGCTTTGGCGCATGAAAAATAGAATGTAATGTAAGGATATTTGGAAGGCGAACTATACCCCTACTAATAATAGGGGAATGTGACCCATCAGCAAACTGAATATGTATGTAACTACTCATCGAAAGTATTGAAGTAATGAGTTGCACCTATCATGTGACCATTTGCACTCAAGTTTAGCATCTGAAAAGGAGAAGGACAGGTGCGAGCATGGAAGGTACAAAGTACACCAGTAGTAGTCGCAGTAGTAGTAGTAGGACTCTAAGAAGTCATAGTAGACATAAGCATATCCAATCTGGAAGTGATAACATTCATATCGCTCTACCAAGGAGCAGCAGCAGTAATAGGGACAACACCAGTAGGTGTTGGTCCCTCAATAATAGCGGTAGTACGACCTCGAGAAGTAACATAAAACGACTTAAGCTTGGGATGGAGCATCCAGCAAGCAACCCTAAGATGTCCTGTAGGCCACAATAATCACACTGGCGAGAATTGTAGTATTTGCGCTGCTCTGGAGCGTCTTGCTAGCGTTGGTCTAGATGTTGTCCATCCCTGGCAGGGGATCCTAAGTGAGATCTTGTAGCAACTAAAAGGGCCATTGGTCAGCCTTGGGAGTCAAGGTTGCAACGGGAAGTGATGCAATACGGACTCGACACTTATGTTGCTCAATTATAGAATAAACCTTATAAAGAGAAAGAACCTTCAACATCGACAGCATTTGGGAATGAGGTCCTTCAAACTCACCATGAAGCCTTATAAAGAACTTGTGAATTCTGTCTTCCTGCTATCGAGTACGTAGAAATGTCGCTCCGTCGGGTTTTATCCCTGTCAAGCATACGAGAGCTCCTAAGAAAGCTCATAAACATGAACTATACGACCTAACTGTGAATATATCTCTAATAATGCGCTTCATAGCTTCGGAACAGTGCTATGAAACTGATGAATCTTGCAAACAGATGACTCCATAAATCCAAATAACCATCTAACCACGTAGAATATCTAAGGTTGTCATCAACTGGCTTCGAGTGCGGTTCGGTCAGCAAACCAAGCTTCCCAATACACCCCAAAAAGAGTTGAAACTAGAGTGACCACTTAGGAAAGTAATGATCATCCAATATGTGACGCTGCTAAAAACCGGGAGTCATTTGTTAACCGTTGACCATCTGTCAACCCGCGGAAATATCCATGATTGTCGAACAACTGGGCGACACATCAATAACATTCCCTTAACCGGAATTATAACCCACACGTGAAACCTGTGTACATTTTATCATTTGATCCAACCGTGGTCCAAAGTACCACATTTCATACTTATTTTATGTCTATTTATATCCTTGGAATCAAAGAACCCATAGCCCAAAAGTTTCACAAAACAATTTTCAAATTTTCAAATTTTTGGAAAGTGTACCGGTAGGCTGTACCGGTACAAAGATTGCCCACTGGAAAAAGCCATACCGGTATAGGTAACCCACTGGAAGAATCCATACTGGTACGGGTAACCCACTGGACCTTGTCGTATTGGTACGCCATACCGGTATGCTTTGCTGACTTTTGCCTATTTCACCTGTTTTTTTATTTCCAATCCATTTCAACCTATTCCACTACCATCCAAAATATGCTTAATAACGTTTGTCACATAAAACCTATTATATACAAGTTCTATTATAGATAATTTCATACGATTACATGCCCAAAATATAATTTTCACAAAAAATTTATAGAATGAGCTATCAAAAGCCACAAATCGGCTCTCTTCATCTTTGAGGCTCGAAATGAGAGTCCTCCGCCGGTGTGAACCTCACACCTGAAATTTTTTCTCGTATAGGGTGATCTACGCTCAATAGAGTATCCCCTACAGAGGCTACTCCTCCCCCTAGATGCACATGAAATGTGTACATGCAACAATCAACCCCCAATTTCCATTCCAAACAAGAATATGTCATTAAATGTTGAAATTTTACTATGTTATGTCATGATATGAGATGATACTCAATCATGCACTTTAATCCGAGTCCTCACCGACTCTCACAACACAATGCAATGCTAATGTGTAGCAAATCTATTATTGATGAATATCATCCAATGATCATTTTGAAATAAAGGTCATGTGTTTTTAAAACCAAATTTTGTTGGATGATACACATTGAATGACCATTTGTAAAACAAAATCATGTGTTTTTGTTGGGTATTAGATTTTGGAATCACACCGCTGGCTCCGTACGATATTACACTTTTTTAAAATTTTACCACAGGGGAGTGTATGA